GTGAAGTCCCTGAGGCACTGAATTTGATGGCTAATCATAAAAAACTGCACTGTTTTTCACTGGCATAATGATTGAAAACAATTTTACCATCACGGCAACCCTTAAAGTCATTTCCCACTTCAATATTTACCTCATAAATAGACATAACTATACAAGTATCTAAACTACTGATCATTCCCAGAGGCTGGGCAGCGCACCAATATAGGTTTATTTAAAAAAAACAAACGTCTGGTCTGTGTAGAGTGGTTTTGTGGTTTACCAGGCGTCTTCTATGCACGCTGTATCATTTAGCTCTGTGTAGAAGAGGCAGCTGGTGGGGTTATTGGAACCATAGCAAAGGTACATAGGACAGTAGCTGGAAGGGCCAAGCTAAAGTAGTAATTAATGACTGTTGACTGAAGGGGTCATTTTACAGCTAATCTGACAAAAGACTGCATTGGTTACACTGGAAAAACAGGCATTCAGAAGATGATCTTACTGGCTGAAGAGACTGGAACAAATTAATGGATGGGTCTCAAATTTGTTTAAAGACTATCCTTTGAGTTTTGACAGCCACACAGATCAGTTTTATAGGAGGAAAGTCACTGAAAAATTATGACAAAATGACCAAGTACGCTATAATCCCTTCTAAAAAATGAAAAAACACAAAAAAAAAGAAAAAGAAAAGCTGATCCAATGTGTTGGAAATATAGATAAGATTAATGGGGGGGAGAAGGCAGATATAGTTCATGTGCAGGAAGTTAGATCAACTATTCCCCCCCATGGATTATCATTTTCCCCAAGCTTGTAAAGCCCGCATCAGGTTGGCTAGCAGCCCTCTGCCAGGGGCTTTGGCCAATACTGAGGATTAAAAATCCTCCAAGGCTATAAATATACCTAGCAGACTAACGTCAGCAGCCTGCCAGCTACTGCGCTCACCTCGTACGGCAGAATAGATGGCCATGTGTTTTTCCTCTTTTCTGCCTTTTATTTTCAATCTATCTCGTCACTTCTGAGAGGCCTTGTTTCCTTTGTGCTTCCATTTTCCTCCCCAACTTCCACTTGCGTCTCAGTCTTCTGAGACTTAGCTCCCCGCCAACTCCTCTACCCCCAATCTTTCACTTTATCCCATTCATGCTCTTGCACTTGGTAGTGCCTCCTAATTGGAAACAAGCTGTGAGAGGGCTTTCAGTCTGAGGTTAAAATTGCATCTGATCTGCCTCCTGCTGGATCTCCCAGCAATCTCTCTCCTCTTCTCTCCCAGCAGCGTTACAGGCTTGTGCATAGAGGCAGAGTACAAATATAAAAAACAAGTAAACGGAGATGAGGGAAGGAAACTGTTGACTTCACAAGAGGTGCTGGCAGAGACGTAAACAAGTGGATCGATGCCTCAGGTTTGCACAAATCATATTGAGGAGACTGAACTTTGTACTTCAACTGCTGGTAACTTAATTTCAATGAAAAGCAAAGAATAAAATGATTCCCAGAGTGGGGAGCACAGTGTGGTATCTTCATGTAGCAACAACCAGTCAATCTATGGCGCATCAAAGTCTCGATTGAAAACTGACATGAATTTGACATGGTAATTATTGTGAGGGCTTACATTGACTCTATCATAACTTCCTTTTTTGCACTGTGAGAGGATAAGAGGGATTAGTTGCACAAAAGACCACAGCCAGGCACAGAAACAATTACTTCCTCCCAGTTAGATGCCAGACTGCACTGTTGGGCCCAGAGGGCCGTATAACAGGCCGCAGCAACTCTGTTGCAACCAAAACCTTCACAGAAAAAAAAATAAATGAATAAAATGGTGGGAAAGAAATACGCTACATATTTAGGTTGTGCTACATCTGATGTCCGCTTAAAGTAAGACCAAAACACAGGAACGCCGACCTAAATCTGTTAAAATGTAGGTTTTACACTGAACTATTTATGTTAATAGAAAATTGGAAATGGAAACATGTCAAGTTGAAAAGATGCACTGAATGACTTAAGGTAAAATCTTATTGCATAGACTGAATAACGTTGTCAAAGGTCCAGTCGCAAAACATCATAAAAATTTGAAGAAAAAAAAAGACATAACAGTGCCAAATGTTTAATGACTAAGTTAGAGAAAAGTGTGTCATACATAAGTTTAGCATAACAGCACAATATCAAATACAAAAACTCCAAATTGGTGTTTGTCATTGAAGCAACAGGCAGATGTCAAACCCTAAATTATTAATAAGGTAAGAAGGAAATACACTAAATGAGAATCCATCAGCGGTCATGCAACATTTCAGTTTTTCCAACACCCAACAAGTGGAGTGGAGATTACAATCAGTTTTAACAATGTTGGCATGTTTTCAGAAAACAATCAAAAGTGGGTGGCCTTCTACATTCCAACTAAAAATAATGTCATTATGTCAAAAACATAATGAAGTATCGTTGACCACATTGTTGCAGTCATGCACAACAAACACTACAAAGAAAATTCCCTGGAGAGAGTTGGTAGGCTGGGATGTGTGTGATGCAGAAAAGGTGAGACAGAGCTCTTTGTAGGTTTAAGTTGAAAGTCTAAAAAAAAAGACAACAACAAAAAAAAAAAGAAACAGGTGCCACAAATAAAAACAGGCAACAACTGCAGCTCTAGCTATGATGTGAATAAGATTCCCTGTCTGCCAAAAGACTTCAACTTCAGATCCATATGTTTGCATCGGCCATTTCCTGTAAAGCTAGATGCAGAACTGAGGTTTGTTCAAGTCACTGGTAATCAATGACGCCGTACGTCATGTGCTCTGGACAATCTGGGGTAGAGGTCGCCCAACAAGAGGACCACCGGTTCCAACATTGGTATCAAAGGTCTAAAGGATGTAAGTAGATATAAACGCAAAGCTTGGCAATGTCCAGTAGCCACATCTGCAGAGTGCAGCCATTCAGAAAACATGGATGCATGATACTGTCAAAACAGAGTATTTTGAGGAGACACTTCAGGACACTGCTGAAGTGTTTGTCAAAATGCCATTCATACACTTCAAACTTTAGTCATCAAGCATGCTCTGGCGACCAGAGTCTGTGTGAATTTTGTTATTTTAAAGCTGTAGCAGTGGCAGAAAAAGGCATGACACAAAATGATATAAACGATTTGGTATGTTTCAAAAATGTAACATCGCATTGGGAATCAAAGTAGAACCACTAGTCAGGTTTAAAGAAGGCACACCGAGTAAGAAGCACTTACTCTGGCTAAACAATGCAATTAAGCTGGATTGTCACACATTAGGAATTTATATCTTAATTGCTCCCAAATGCTTCTTAATGAAATTAATTGTCATCTGAGTTATAGATAATATTTCTACATGAATTTTTTTAAAGGAAAATGGAAGCTTGATTCCCAATCATGGTATTCGCTGCTCTTCCCTTCTGTCTCTGCCCACTTCATGTCTAAACACAGCAATTAAAGGGCACTTAAACAAAAAATAAAAATACAGCATAAAGTCAAAAGATAAATCATTACCTTTTGGCCCCCCCAGCATGTTGGGGTCAATCAGGACACTGGTCAGAGCCAGTGCATTCCTAGCTAATGCAATTGGGCTCGTCTGGGAAATGATTGAGCAAACAGAAGCCAGAGTGGCTTCCCCTCACTGGCACCAGAGCTTTGTCACTGCTAATCCAGTCCAAAGATCTCCAATCAAACACCACCAGTAAAAACATGGCACAGCCCTGGCCGACAAAAACTCAATCCCACTGTCCAAAGGTGGATCACAGAGTTTGTTCATCAGATTTGAGCTCAGAAAATGACCTGGCTGACACCAGGAAATTATTCCACAGCTGCACTTCTGTTCTATGGAGTATTCTCTTCATAAAGACAACAATCCTGCTTGTTCACAGGATTATATTGGTCTAAAAAAAAAAAAAAAGCAAATTTAAAGAAGTCACTTGTGCATCACCAGAACAGGCAAGTAACAAATTAATATAAACTCAATAAAATCTCTAATAATAGAATATTTGTACGGGAAATGACAAAAATAATGGAAAGTCAGGATACAGAGAACACAGAAGCAGAGTCATCAATGACTGAGTCAACAGATCGACATATTGACTGAATGACTGTAATACTGCAGTGCCTCTGGCTGACATTAATTTTCTCATCAGTGCCTCACAGGCCTCCACTAAAGGTCCATAAATGAGTAAATGATGCGAGCAAATATTGGGGAACTGAATAAACAACAAACTCTTGTGGCGTTACAGTATCTTTAGGACATTCCTGGTCTGTTTTTTCTTTTCTTATAACAAAAACCTAAAAGACAGTCTTAAGCAATCTAAATTATACAGAAAAATAATTATGGGAACATTAATAAACCAAATATTTTGCTATTTTAATTTATTTTTTCACAATATTTGTTATTGCAAAGAAATGAAGTTAAACCAGAGGTGGGCATTTATCATATTGTTTATCATGAAGAGTTTTGATTCATTTATAATTTTGATAAATTTATCACGGTTAAGATAAATTTCACTTATTGATGATAAATAAATTTTAAAAAACTGACAGTACCATTGGAAATGTTATTTTTTGCTATTTTTTCCACCGTTTGTTCCATAAAGGCATCCATAAATATTTGTAAATTTGGCAACATGATTAAATCAATTTACTGTGTGCAGTTTACTGATATAAATCATACTTTCTTTAAATAAGTGGTGACTTGATGAAGCCCATTTTAAATAGGAATGTTCTTCAACAGCAATATTCGTGCTTGTGGTGCTGAATGCAGTGCAGTCACAGCCATACAGTTAACTAAACAAAACAAACAAAAAAATGAGTAATACATTTATTTTGTTTATCACATTCTTTATTGTTATCGCAATACTACCATAAAGTATCGCGATAAAATTCTAAGTCCATATTATCCGCCCCTAAGTTAAACCTTCACGATCAGCAAACTGACTATTTTAGTGCAAGTTTTTCTAAAAGCACCAAATGAGACTGTAAGAGGGAAGAAAATAAAAATTATCTGAAAACTTAATGACAGAAAAGTACTCACTTGTCGTACTCTGCGTTGTCCTTATCGCAGCGTGCATCCTTGTGCTTCTGCCAGTCCTTCCCGTGCTTACAGGTGGTGAGGAGGACCACGTCCTGTGAGTTATGCACATGGTATAAAGCATTCCTTGTGTCTGACCCTATTCCAGTCAGGTACCTCTTCCCCTTAAAAACAAGCACGTACTTCCTGTAAGGGGGGATTGTGTTATGTCTCAAATAGCCCCTCTCTCCACCTGTCCTGGGGTGCTCCTTCGAAAACAGGGGGATAGAAACATCAAATTGAGGCCTGAAGTTTTCCGTACTTATGCTGGCTTTGGCCAGCATGGCAAAGCCAATGTCAAAGCCGAGATCTTCTGTGTAATCTGGCCATGTGCCGGAATATAAATTGAAGATTATGTGGTTTTTGCCCTCGTTCCAGAGAGGAAGGCTTTGGATTTTCGCCTTCAGGTTGTGCACGTACTGAGGTGAAAGCTGGTCCCGATCCAGAGTGTCCAAGCTCAGGACAAACAGGCAGGCCTGTGCTGGGTCTGGCGTGTAAAACCTGGAGCCCTCGATGGAGGTCAGAATGTTTTGATAGCTCTCCGAGATCTTTTCTCCTTTCTGCTGCGGATACACGTAAACCTTAAATCCGTTCCTCTCACACAGAGAGAAGTCAAAGCAGGACTCCATTCTGCATCGTTTTCCAGTGTACAGGAATGAGTTGGTGTCCCTCTTTTGCCTAGGAGATATGTGTTCGCTGAGGTCATCGCTCCGATCCTTCTCAAAGGTGCTGAAAGACTGCAGGTATCCCTGGAGGCGCCGCCACCGCGCCCCGGGGTGATAACCGGCGAGGCTGCGGTCATCACGCCGGCTGGGACCCCGTCGGGACAGCGGGACTTGTATCCCCCCGAAACACAACAGCAGAATGAGACAGGCGCCGGCGGAGAATAGGATTAAGTATCGTTTTTTGGCCTGCATGTGTCCGGCGATCGGAAATAAGGTGCGCGTCTGTGAATCCGACAAGTTGCGAAGTTTGGGTCTCACCACCTCCTGTGGGAGAGCTCCGCCATCTTCCCCCGGGCTGCAAGGGCTGCGAGCTTTCGTCTCCCTCCTCCTGCTTCAGTTGCCTTTCACAAGTCCGGGAGCTGATCCAACGCATGTGGGCGATTTTTAATGTCCATCCACCTCGTCTTCCTGCTGATAAAATGACAGCTTTTCCCAAACTACCGGATGGACTCAAATCTGGACATCCTAAGTCGCACTCTACTTTTCTTTGTGTAACGCCACCTTTGCTGAGCCACAAGGGTTATTTTGCCACGAACTATAGTTTCTATCTTATCCGGATATTAACTGACAATATGAAATACGAGTACATAATTGAGTTGAAGCAGGAGAGTGAGCTAGACTTGTTGCCCAGACTGTTAACTATTGTCTGTACTCCAGTCTTAAGGTTTCACTGGAGATTATAAGCCAAACTAGTACAGGAGCTTTAAAACATTCAACATATCATAGGAGATATTACGCCAGTTTGTTCATATAATGCCTCTAATACCGGTTCCAACATTACAACAGATAAACCGAGACAATACATTTCTAAAACCGACGTTCGCTAGCTTGTTAGCAAGCTAACTATACTAGCTTATCTGTGAAAACAGTTCCAGTTAGCTTGTTAGCTAAGCGCTCGGCATCAGAGATCTATACCGCTGGCTAGACAAGGCAGCAAAACCAAATCTGTCTCCTTCCGCAATAAAAACAACCTCTTTCCTCGGATGGGAAACGTGTCTTCTACCTCGAAGCCGGTAAATTAGCATCTACCTTAATTTTTCCAGTCATGTAAAGTGCTGAAGTGGTGGCTCATGCACTCACAAACAGGAGGAGTGCGGCGAACGAGACGAGCCAAGCAGCTCAACACGGCTGGGCCGTCCCACTACTGTGACCACCAGTACCCATTAGATGACGTTCCTCCACGGCGCACGGTGCCTTCCCATTGGGTGCCGTCACATCCGAGGCGGGCGGGGCTTCCACCACTCTTTTACTTTCAAACACGTACAGGTGCGGCTCAAGAGTATAGAAATTGTAAAATATTATATATTAAAAAAAAGTTTCATTATTTCAACAGTTATGATCCAAAAATAAAAATATTTATTATTGTTTAACTAAATAGAGAGCGATATATTACATATGTTATCTATTTCTGATAGAAGTTTTAATGGAGAAAGTGTATGTAATGTACGTAATCAAGTGGAAGATTTCTGTTTTGACTGCCCATCAGACAGCCACTGACACACTCCTACATATTTGTAGGTAGGCCACAAATATAAATTTCTATTTTCATTACTTTTACATTTGAATTTTGAGGTTTGTCGAATTTATTGAGCTCTAGCTGTATAATCTATACTAAAGTCATGTGACAAAATTTTGGCAGGTGCTCTTACTTTTACTGGGATAAGGCCATTAGCTATTAACATGTGTTAAATGAAGAGTGTCATCAAAGTAATGTCAGCACAATTATTGTCACTTTCTTTTATTTATTTGAATGAAATCTCTTTGTTTACCCTGTATATTCTGTTTGTGGATGGAGCGGCTCATCTAAGGTGGCATTTCTCAAGAAAATGTCACCAATCACCCTGTATAAGTTCCATCCATCAACCAGCTTTCATGTAGCTCTTGAAAAATGACACTCCTGCAGCATGATCCTGCAACCACCATGTTTCACAATCACATTCAAGGAGACATGCAGTGTAGAACTCCCTCAAGCATGGCTGTTTACATAGAAAACTTTATGTTCGCTGTGCTTAAATTATTTATAGGTGGTCTTTACTTAAAAATTGGGTGACTTATGAGGCTATGTCTTATATTTTTGTGTATCTTGCAAAAAGATTTGTGGGGAAAAAAAACATTTTCTGTGATGGACTAGCTTTTTTTTTTTTTGCTGCACTGTCATCATTATCATTTAACCGATGGCTCAACTCAAGTTTATATATTATTTCTGAAATTCAGACATCATCCCCTGAATTCTAATGTGTTTTTAGTCCCTCTGAGCTTTTGCTACTGTACAGGTGGATCCTTATGCTTTCATTCATCCTTCAAAATACACTTCATTTGAATAACCGTAAATGTCAAGTCTGAATATTTGCTTGTATGCGAAAATAACACATACAAGCGGAAGGAGACAATAGTCCACCACTATTGTCCAGTCCTGCTGATATGAATTGGCTGGTTCTTTTCTGGGAGGTACACCCAGACCCTGGTGTTGTTTCTCGGCTGCTGTGGTCCGAAATACCAAGTGATTTAGTTGAAGCTTGTAAAGAGCACCTGCATTCTTTGAGAGATGCACGTTAGCCATCCAGACTCCTTCGGTAATCCATGGCCCCATTGATCAAAGAGTGTGAGGTGAGTGATGGTCACCTCTGCGGCCTACTCCCTTCTTCTTCTTTGTTGGTTTGTCCTCTCTCCATCTCTCAATCTGCACGAGCTTTCCATCACCCCTTCTTCTGTTCTTCGTCGTCTTGCCCTTGCATCTCCCCCTTTCATCCCCTCTGTTTGATAGCTCTGAATAAATGAATACTCCTCACGTCCCGTTATGTAGATGAATGTTTGTTGCTTTTGTTCTGAGCTCTTTTATTGACGGGCACAATAACGGTAGAATCAGAAAATTATTTTTGGATGCGCTAACAAGATTTAAAAATAAATAAATAAATAAATAAATGAGGACAAATGAAAAAAAAAAAAAAAAAGACAGTCAACTGGATACCAGATGAATACAAATGGGTAAAAACCGTGGAGATTTGTTTTGTCCAACTATCATCTGCTGCCTAATGAGACTGTGGAGATGCGGTCCCCCTGCTGATGCATTGTTTTTGCGGTGATGAGCTCTGGCCAGATTCAGAGCAGCAGGGGGTGGGACTGAGCCAGAGCAGCGCTCCCACTGTGTAACACTTTGCTATGATGCCAATATCTAATTTGAAGGCACCCGGGTCAGAGCAGTGTTTACCGGTGACACCCCGAAGGTGACATGTCAAGCTAAGCAGCTAAATTGAAATTTATTTTACCCTTCTAATGCTTTCTGAGTTCACTATTTGCAAACTGGTTATTAACATTCCAGCCCCATGCGAGCTGGCACACACACACACACGCATGCACACACGCACCCATACCCACACATACACACACACACACATACATGCTGCTGTGTAAAAAGCAATACACATATACGCATGTGTGCTCCCCCTTTCATGTTGAGCACAGCCTTGGAAGCGATAATTTAAGGTCCCCCCACCCCCTAACTCTCAGAGGAAGCCTTGGAGAGGAGCAACATCCATCTGTGTTGACACTAACATGCATAAATCACTTCTGAGCATGTCAAGATGAAAAGTGAAATGAAGGCTGCATGTGGCAAATATCTGTGTCTCGAAGCTGCATGACTAGTCATAAAATAAGATTATCAAATATTCTGCACATCCATGTCATTTTCATCACATGGGGGGAAATTTTGTATTTATTAATCTCAGATTCTATAACAGGGACAGAAATATTACAAAAAACCCCAAAACATTTTCATGGGGAGAATTTTTAAGGCTTTAGGGTATTGGTTCATTCGGAGGCGTTCTTGTTCACAGTCTGATTTATGATAACACATTCCAGGAAACACAAACAGTACCTTGAACCAGTATTTATACCTCTTGAATTTATGCAGCTCAGCATGTTTCAAAATTCATGAGCACGAAGCGCGATCACACCTGTGATATGTTTTTCAGAATCTGTTGCATTACAACCACACACTGCGTTTCGTTGGTAGTGCTTGTCAGTCAAGTGGTCGGGAATCGTGATTTCCATAATTTTCTCCAAATAATCTAAAAAGTGTGGCATAGATTTGTGCGAAGTCCCCCTGACTCTGGCTAAGTAGACGCACCATATGTTGCATATACTGGCAGGTGTGTCCCTACCATTTCTTCACATGCTGAATTTTTTTTTTTTTTTAGTTAATTTTCATTTGAAAATTTCTTAACCTTAATCAGTGAACAGTCATTTCTCAGTTGGATGTTAGTATGAAATTTTACTGGGGTATTCTCTGATATTTGATTATGATTGGATCTAAATAATTCAATCTTAAATCTGTCTGCATGTTCAGGATCATTATCCAGCTGGCAGGTGAACCTCTGGCCAGACTATATGGTTTACTTCCAGGACTGTCTGATGTTTGTGAGTCAATCTGCCCGTCAAATCTGATCACTTTCCTTGTCCGTAGTTTTTGCATTTTCCATAAGGCAAAAGAAAAAGTTGTTCAAATCGGTTCCTTTCTGATAAGAGCACATTCCTTTATAAGTTTGTTTTGTCCACTGAATGGGTTGTAGCACACCACAAACAGCACTTCTTCTCTTTCAATAATGTGTTTTTTTCTGGTCAATCTTCCATGAAGGCTAGGCTCAACATATTAGCTTTTAATCTCTGCAGCTCCTCCAGAGGCACCATGGGTGTCTTGACAGCTTCTCAGAGTAATAAAAATAACTATCTCATAGGAGAACAATCATGTTTCTAGATGTGCCATACTCCTTATTTTTTAATTTAATATTATTCAGAGAGATTTTCAGTTTCTGGGATTTTGTCTGATAACCAAAATCTAGTTTATGTTTCTCTGTAGTTTGACCTCTGACCTGTCTGCTGCTGGTGGTCTTGGTCTTCATGATACAGAACAGTTGTATGTATACAGATATCAACTTACAGGTGAACTCTATTTACTCTAAAGGTGACATATGGGGGGAAAGGGTTGCACTGGATTTTATTTTATTGAATCAGAGTAAAAGGGACTGAATAGAAATACACAGCATACCTTTTCAGTGTTGATGTTGTGCAACATTTTAAAAACTTTTTACAATTTTAATCCCCCATCACGTTTGATGTTTTTAAATTAATATCTATTACTTTAAGTAAAATGATAATATTTTATGTGTCCATATAAGCTGCTATTTGACCCCAAAAAAGTAAAGCAACTAGTGCAATTATGAAAGACCATATTGATGATGATATTTAGGTCAGACTCCAGAGGACCCATGGGTAGTCATAAAAAGATACAAAGAGGGATTTTACCTTCAATAACCAATTGCTTCTGCAGATCTATACTTGTTTCATGGTACTAATACAAAAAACTGCAACACATCTATTGTAAAAACAACCCACCTGAGCCTCTGAAAAAGAAATGAGGTAAAAAAAAAGAAAAAAAAAAGCAGGTCAACAAATGAATAAAACACATGTTGGGAAAGGATAGGAAGCAGGATAAAAAAACAGTCCAAGAAATGTCAAATATCAAAATCCAATCTGGAAAAAAAACAAAACAAAAAAACAAAAAAAAAACTTTAAATAAGGCGGCTGATAAATAATGTAAGGACTACCAGGCTATAAATACACAGAGATGTGCAGTATTTAACAGTGTGGTAGGTAGATAGGTAAGTAAGTAGCTAAGTAGGTAGGTAGGTAGGTAGGTAGGTAGGTAGGTAGGTAGGTAAATAAGTAGGTAAGTAAGTAGGTAGGTAGGTAGGTAGGTAGGTAGGTAAATAAGTAGGTAAGTAAGTAGGTAGGTAGGTAGGTAAATAAG